CTGCCAAACCTTGTCAAGACAAATCAAGACAGTCCTTCAAAAATCCTGCTTCATAGAGAAGTCTGTCAAGTATTCTAGGCCTTTAGGCTGAAGATGGATGCCCCAACATTGCAGAGGACCTTTGTGTGACTGTCCCGGCAGTCAGCTGTTTCTGTTGTTTCTCGCATTTTTTGGAAGTCACTCACTTGCACTTCTGCTTACTCAGTTAATATTATTTTCTTCTTGGGTCTCTGAGGTAGTTGAAGACTACATAGCTATAGGTATAGTTTTCCTTGTTTATGGGACTCAGAAAAGAAATTCACTAAAGAAGAGTAAAGTGTATAGGGTTGAGAGATCTCAAAAGATATTTTTGGATGGTAATGCAAATTAGAATAGAAACTGAATTAGATACAAGACTTTGGACTCACTAAGATAGAATAGATAGCAGAGTGTTTTCTCTGAATTTGTCAAATGCAAATGGACTAGACATTGTGGATGTACATATCACCTGTATATAGTTATTATATTTATTGTATATAGTTTTCTTAGTTATAGCTTGCTCTTATATTAGACAAAAAAGGAAAATATAGTGTTATTTTATTTGCATTTTAATAAATAAAGCTTGCCTGAAGATCAGAGTGCAGAGTTAAGCCACCAGAGGCCAGGGGTGGTGGCACAAACCTTTAATCCCAGGACTCAAGGCCACCCTGGGCTACAGGAGATTGAGTCTATCTAAAGGAGAAATAGAACTCTCACATAGGTGATCCCAGTACTCGGGGGTCACACGCCTTTAATCCCAGCACTAGGGAGGTGGAGACAGGAGTAATATGGCTGGGCAGAGGTATATAAGGCAGGAGGAGACAAGAGCTCATTGCAGTCTGAGGTTTGGTGGAGAGCATTGCAGTCTACAGTCACACTGAGGACAGGATCGCCCCTTTGTTTATCTGAGCCTTGGTAGAAGTACAAACTCTCAGGTGGCTTGGTTGCTTGCTCTTCAACTTAAACCCCAATATCTGTTTCTGGGTGTATAGTATTCGTGCTATGCTATTTCAAACAAACAATAAAAACAATAACAACAACAAGATAACATAATGGAACCTATTGCCATGTATAATTAGCATATGCTAACGAAAAACTAAAAACGTAACCAGGGCTCCAGAGGACTGGTTTGTTCTTCCTACTAGACAGACCACCACACCAGGCTGGGATTTTGACATGGAGATCATGTTTCAGACAGACCTGGCAGCAGAATGCAGGGGCCAGAGGGCCTGGTCCAGGGTCCAGTGAACAAGAGTGCAGGGGTGAGCTGATGGAGCGTGGACTCCGACCATGGAAAGGACTAGTTGGTATGAGACCTGCCATAGCAAACAAACCAGGGGTTTTGTAGGAAATCTGATGTAGCAGTGAAGGAGAGCATGAGGAGGTGACTCATTCGTCATTCTCACGCTGGGCCCTTCTCTCAAGGACACAAGACACTTGACACTCATCCCAGCCTCAAACCTGCAGACAAAAATTAACCAGCCTCTTTTCCCAGCTCCCTTTAAGATGCCAGGTTCTCCCCTGGGCCAGTCTCTGCAAGCCCACTCTTCCATGCAACATTTAAAGATTTATTTATTTACTTTACAGGCGTTTGCACGAGTTTTTGTGCATTGCTTGCATGCAGGGATCCTCAGAGGTCAGGAGAGGGCTTCAGGGCTTCAGGAACTGGGGCTATCAGCAGCTGCGAGCTGTCATACTGATGCCGGGAACTGAACCCTGGACCTCTGTAAAAGCATTAGATCCTCCTATCCGCAGATGCAGCTTTCCTGCCCACCACTGGATGTTTAGGACCTTTGCCTGTGTTTACAACCATTAGGTGTGAAATTAAAACGCCAATTAGAATCATTAGTGTGGACTACTGGGTGACCAGAGGCCTGCAGTGTCGCAACCTTGGTCAGAGGCCTGCAGGGTCACAACTGTTCTGTGAATTTTGGTTTCTGATGTGAGAATCAAGGAAATCAGAGCAAACATAATGGGAGTGTGGTATGGGAAGTCCTTTTGTCTATGTGTTGCTTTTATTGGTTAATGAATAAATGTTTCAGCCAGTGGTTTAGCAGAATAGAGCTGGGTGGGGGAACTAAACTGAATGCTGGGAGAGAGAAGGCAGAGTCAAGAGAAGCCATGTAGCCCCGCTGGAGAGAGATGCCAGATGGAACCTTGCTGGTAATCCACAGCCACGTGGCAATACACAGATTAATAGAAATGGATTAACTAAAACTATAAGAGCTAGTTAGCAACATTTTTAAGGGATTGGCTAAGCAGTGATTTAAATAATATAGTTTCTGAGTGATTATTTCGAGTCTGGGCAGTGGAGAACAAACAAGGGAACTCCTACAATAGGAGTGTCTCTCTTCTCTTAGCTTCACTCTGGCAGAGAACACAATAATTGTGCAGAGATTTAAAAAAAAGGCTTCATGTGAGGGGATGCTAGAATGCAAATGGATCCTTGACCTCCTTTTGGCATTGCTGTGGCTAAAATCCAGGACCTTCTGCACTCTGGCGGGCACTCTGTTTACACCAAGACTGCCCTTGGCTGTTCAGTGCATGGAGAAATGGCGCCTAGCCTTCCAGCTGTGAAGGCACAAATGGAACAATGGGTAGCGCTAGTGTTTGCTGAGTCCTCCTTGGCCACCAGGTCCTTACTGGGTGAAATGTTTAGCGATTTCAATAACCCTATAAGGTAAACAATACTAGGGTTCTTGTTTTACAAGTGAAAAACAGCCAGGCAGTGGTGGCGCATGCCTTTCATCCCAGCACTCAGGAGGCAGAGACAGGTGGATCTCTGTGAGTTTGAGGACAGCCTGGTCTACAGAGTGAATTTCAGGACAGACTCCAAAGCTACAGAGAAAACCAAAAACCAAGTAAAATATAAAAAAGTCATATACTAATTTAGTATAAAGTGATAATAAATTAAATTTTAAAATAATAAAATACATCTTTTTTTCCTAGACACGATTGACTACAATGCCACTTACCAGACATGCCAGTTAGCATCTGGATTATCCTTGTTTTGTTTTGCTTTCAAGACAGGGTTTCTCTGTGTAGACCTGGAACTTTATAGACCAGGCTGACTTCAGACTCACAGAGATCCGCCTGCTTCTGCCTCCTGAGTGCTGCTGGGATTAAAGGTGTGCACCACCATGGCCCAACATCCAAGGTCATTTATCCAGCGTTCTTTGATTCCTTGATGTTAACCAAAAACTAGAACAAATGGCCAAAGGCCTGTGGAGTCACAACACCAGGGGTGACACACACACTTTACTGGCAGGAGGGTCCCCAAAGAAAGCCGTCCCTCAGCACCTCCTTCCTTTTCTTGTAGCTTCAAACAACAGAGATGGTTACCTACTGCACACCGGAAGTACAGATTCACTATGAACAAGTTGACTCATTAAGGGATCTGAAGAATGGCATCTTGGCCACAATGGAGTCAATACAAACTCGAAAATGTGATCGCAGAAATTAGAGTCACAGAGCAGGGGTGTCCCCTCTCGCCAGAGGCCTTGGAGCCAACCTCTCTGGCATGGGACACAGGTTCATTCTGGATGGCACAGCGTATTAAAAGTGCCAGGCGGCAAGCTTTGGCATAAGAAATTAAGACTGGAAGTAGATGGTTGCCATGTTCTCCTCCAGTGTCAGCATGGTGACCTGCAACCACGTGCAGACAGTGGCAGCCCTACCTTCAGACCCACCGTGAGGATAAGCATCACGGAGGCTGGGGATGTGGCTCAGTGGAAGAGCACTTACCTAGTGTGTGCAAATCCTCAGCACTTGGGAAAAAGGGGGTGGGGGTAGGATTGAGGCAGGCAACTCTCATGGAGTCAGAGGCCAGCCCAGACTACATAGCAAGTTCCAGGCTAGCCAGGACTACTTAGAGACCCTGTCTTTAAAATAAATAAAAATGAAATGAGGTTGATCCTCATTAAAAGCTGAGCACTGTTAACCAAAATATTGGCGACTTAAGCTGGGTGGTGGTGGTTCACACCTTTAATCCCAGCACTTAGGAGGCAGATGCAGGTGGATCTTGTGAGTTCGAAGCCAGCCTGGTCTACAGTGTGAGTTCCAGGACAATCAGGACTACACAGAGAAACCCTGGTGAGAAAAACTAAAAGGACCCTCTCTTATAATCAGCTGATTAACTAATCAGCAAATAAACAAACATAAGCATGTACTTGTTTAAAAAAAAAAAACAAAACTTGGTGACTTGAGTCCACCAGGAATGCCAGCCCTTGGTTTTAGAGTTGGGGTATGGCTCAGTAGGCAAAATGCTTGCCACTTAAGCATGAGTTTGATCCCTATATAGACACAGACATATAGACAACAGTGGTACCTACGTGAGAACCCAAGTGTCTAGGAGGCTGAGACAGCAGGAACCCTGGGGGCTTGCCAGGAAGCCAGTCTATCCAAATTAATGAGCTGCAGGCTCAGCAAGTGACTATTGCAGAAACTAAAGTGGAGAGCCACAAAGGATACCTGATGTCAGCCTGTGGCCTCCACATGTATGTGCACACGAGTGTACATGCACCTGCACACACGCACACACACACACACACACACACACACGTGCACGCACGCACGCATGCGCACGTGCACACATGCGTTTGTACACACAATTTAAGTGTGTGGAATTCTGTGCAGACAACCTCTTCAAAGAGGCCATGGTTTCGTGACTTACTGGAGAGTTCTGCCATAGGGACAATCCCCCTGATCCAGTAGATACACGGACCGTTGGCAGGTCATTCTGAATGGAGAGGGTCTTTTGTCTCAGATCTAGGTCACTTTCACAGCTTTGCACCTGTATTATTTTGGGGTCTCAGGTAAAAGTGCTATGGCTCCCATAGGTGACCCCAAGATGTCATCTTCTTAGGGTGGCCTAGGGATAGTCCTGTGGGTACAGGGGGACTCTGGTCCCCAGGTGGGAGGCTGCAGGGTCCCAGTTTAGACCAATATTTGCTCTCTTGGAAAGAAGCCAGCCAGCCAGTGACTTCAGAATAGACAGGCTCTTTAATCGCACGGTGAACAGTGACAGAGTTGACGTCAAGGGGGCCAACAATCACGTTTCAACAAATCTTGAAGGACAGAGATCATGTGGATCATTCTTACTGTGATACACAGACAATTAGAAAGTGCATGTGTGGGAAGTGGGAAATGCACATTTAATAACCCATGGGTCATGCATCCCCTCACTCAGTCATCCCAACAGTTTGTAACACAGGCCCTCTTGTGCAGGGACTGAGGTTGGGAAGACAACAGAATCTGCCCTGATTCCTGCAGTGTTGGAGCAGGGTGAAGCCCAGCTATGTGGCTGTAGAGCCACGCCTCTGGGAAGGAGCCTCCTGACTGACTTGCTTTGGTGGCTCTGACCTTGGACTGTTGTGCAGAGATCCACTTCCCTTCTGAACTTGTCCTCCTAAGGTTCCCTCCTTAGACTCAGGTGCCGTACATGTCTTGTATGGTGGAGATGCAGTTCAAGGTGGGCCTTCCCACAGAGCTTGGAAGTCTGGGATTACTACCTTTCTTCCCAAAGATTTTCCATGTGGTTCAACACGACTAGCAAACAAAGGGAAACAAAGAGAAGCCACTTCCAGAGCGCTCCCCAGCTTGCTCTAATGCAGATTAAACAGACTGCGTATTACAGCATGTCGTTAGGCAAGCATGAGCATCAATATTCAACAGAACAAGATGCAGGGTCTGTCTGTTTCTTAAATTTGGGGTTACGGCCTCAAAAACATAAACAAATTTAAAAAAAAACCCAGATGACTAAAGCACCCATAATTGGAGCAAGTTGGTGGTTCATGGCACAGGAGGTAAGAGGCAAGACCAAGCTGGTCTCAGATCTCCCTAGGAACATTCTCGCAGCTGAGCTGACCAACCCAGTGCCCTCTGTGGCCTGTGCAAATGGCAGCTTGGCCCCATTAATAGTTCACAGCCTGTCTCCACCACCTCAGGGTGCTTCCTGACAAGATACACTCGCAAAACCACAAAGGCGCTCAGCTTCTGAGGGACTCCTTGGTGTCTGTGTCTTTCTCTGGGTTCTGAGGACAATGTTGGCCCTGCATGGGCTCCTAAGAGTAATAGGACGGAGGACCCATTACTGTTTCTTATACAGCGGGGAGAGTGAAAAGTGAGAAACCAGACAGCAACCTTGTGTTGTACCTCACCAGAGGCAGGTGGGGAACACCGGGAGAACAGGTGTCAGGTGGAGAACACCAGGAGAACAGGTGTCAGGTGGAGAACACCAGAACAGGTGTCAGGTGGAGAACACCAGAAGAACAGGTGTCATGTGGAGAACACCAGAAGAACAGGTGTCAGGTGGAGAACACCAGAAGAACAGGTGTCAGGTGGAGAACACCAGGACAACAGGTGTCAGGTGGAGAACACCAGGACAACAGGGGGCAGGTGGTGAACACCAGGCAGGGTTGTAAGCCCTAAGGCTTCCCCTCTGGCCTTTGGCATCATGACCTGCATTCAAGAGGCAATGCTAGCCCACGATGAGGAGTGGACTCACCTAGTCAAGTCTTCACATCCAGGCTTCATGGGGTTCATTCAGTTTGGGGCCGGGGGCTCAATCAGTCCCACCCCATGGCTTATTCTCTTGGTTCATCCTCAAAAAGTTAACTCACCAAGGGCCGGGGATGTGGCTCAGTTAATACAATGGCCTAACCTTTACAGCAATCACTGCAAAGTCAGTGCGGAGCAGCAACCACAGATCCACGGGTTTTCCTTGAGGTGAGCACTGGACACCAAAAACACTGGGTGTGGGGGCTGTGGGGGCTGTGGTGGGAGCGGGGGCTGTGGGGGCTATGGGACTGTGGGGGGAGCGGGGCATAGCAATAATGGCACCTATTGCTCCTGACTCCACGTGGTGACTATGGCTGGAACAGAAGAAATGCCCCAAGTCAAGAGAGAGCGAGCCCTGGCAAGCAGCTAGACACTGTTCTTATTTGAAGTTAACAGGCCCTGGGACAGGGGCGGAGATGACTGTCATCAGGAACAGATCCTCAGCACCTAATACTTCACAGTCATTAACTCAAGTCCGGCTTGATCCTCAGCACTGGATAAAGACCAGGCGTAGTGTCAATGTGTGTCACTAGGAAGGAGGGTCATCCTCACACAGTAAGTTCAAAGCCAGTCTGGGATACGAGTCTTTGACAAAAAAGAAGAAGGAAGGAAGGAAGGAAGGAAGGAAGGAAGGAAGGAAGGAACGAAATGTCAGCTTCCCATGAGCCAGTGATTTGTTCACAAGCTGCTCTGAGCTGTAAGATCAACGATTCCAAGAGCAAAGGGCCCAGCTGCCCAATCAGGAGTCTGATTACATCCTCTCAATCTCTGAGAAAGGATCCTGCCACTAGGTTACAAGTATCCTTGGGCAGCTCCTACGTGGAAACTCGGTTCAAGTGACCTACAAATGGCCAGTTGTGCCTACAAACTGGACAGATGTGGTGGGGTCCCTCGAATGAGCGCTGGTCCGATGCCTTCGATGAAGCTGTTCCACTGATCGTAGTCCTCCTTCAGGTCTGGGTGGACACAAACAGGAAGAGGGTTAACAGACCACTGTAGAGTCAGGTCAGCTTCCACAGGGTCCCTGGGGCATCCTAGAGAGGAGCATCTGGGATACCAAAAGGACTGGGTCTGGCGGCCTCCTGGGCAGCTGAGGAGGGAGACCCAGCGGTCAGGGCAGCCTCCTGGGCTCCTGGGCAGGCTCGGAGAGGCTGTGGAAGCATGGTGACTTCCATTTGAGCAAGAGGGAGGCAGAGTTGTTCAGCAAGAGACAGAGCGAGGGAAGAGGTGCTGGAAGTGTGGGGAGGAAGAGGAGATGTGTGATCTTCCAGGAGGGCAGGTTGGGGACAGGAAGGAGGAAGAGGTGGCATGGGTTGTTAGCGGGAAGGGAGCGGGATTTCACTGAAAAGGCGCCATCGCTGGGCTCTGGAGGCGTTAGGCAGCAGCTGAGAGGCTGCTGAGCCACCTCTGGCTCATTTTAGTTCCTCAGTGACAAGGTACCTAGAAGCTTCTTTTCTTTGTAAGGCCAGCTGGTGAAGATACAGCGTCTTTACTCAGACTCTGTTCTCTCTCTTCTCACCTGGGTCACCATAAGAGCTTCCACACCATCCACACTCTTGGTTCTCAGCTCTCTGCCTCACCCATTCTCTGCTTGTAGCCATTCTCCTGCCTGGAACCTAGGCTCCTCATGGACTGAGGGCTCAGATCCCAAGCCCTTCAGCAAACCTATAGGCTGCTGCTTCTGACTTCTGCCCACTTCACTCCCTCCCTTCCCCCATCAACACCACCCTGTCCTGAGCTCAGGAAGTGGGAGAACTTCCCATACTACCAGGCCTTCTGTCTTAGAAGACCCCTGTCCCTTCTCTCCAGATGGCCTTTCTTCATCAGTCAGGACCAAAGCCAGAATGGTCTTGTCTAGATAGCCCCTTCCCTGGCATTTCTCCCTTGCCTCCAGACAGGTCTACCCTCTAGGTGCTCCTAGGCAGTCACTGTGTGCTGTGGTTAAAGACACTGTTGTCCATTACGACACTGGACACTGCGACACACCAATAAAGGGTGTGGTGATATACTGTTTGCAATCTAGCAAATAAAGCTTGTCTGAAGATCAGAGTGCAGAGCTAAATCACTAGTCAGCCATAGAGGCCAGGCAGTGGTGGCACACACCTTTAATTGTGGATGCAGACAGATCTCTGTGAGTTCAAGGCCACTCTGGGCTACACTAGATTGATCCAGTCTCAAAGAGAAACAGAGCCAGGCAGTGGTGGCTCACATCTTTAATCCCAGTACTTGGAAGTCATGTGCCTTTAATCCCAGCACTAGGGAGGTGGAGACCAGAGTGATATGGCTGGGCAGAGAGAGGAGTATAAGGCGGGAGGAGATAGGAGCTGGGTCGGATGCAGTCTGAGGGTTTGTAGAGACAGAAGCACCCCTTTGACCTGAGCATTGGTAGAGGTAAGAACTCTAGTGGCTGCTCTGCTTCTCTGGTCCTTCAGCTTCCACCCCCAAATATCTGACTCCAGGTTTTTATTATTAAGAATGATTAGAATTCGTGCTACAGAAGGGGCACGGGCTGTGGGGCTACACAGTCAGGCTGCATGCGGGCACTGCCACCAGAACCAGATAACCTGAACAAATTACAGATTACTGAACATTTCTAAGCTCTAATATATTCATCTGAAAACAATGAAGCTAATAAATAATAAAAGAAACTACTGGAAGGACCATCTCCAGATCAGACACAACAGGGAGTGCATCTAGAAGACTGAGCGTGACAAGTACTGGTGACATCAGAGCCCTCAACACAAGCAGACTAAGTCCCCAGCCAAGCTTGCTCCAGCCTTGACTCCTGCTGCCTCCTCCTCTGCTGGTCTCTCCTTTCAACTCTCTGACATCAAAAGGAGCTGGTCACACCATCATGGGCTCCCTCGCCACCGTCAGCTTTTTTTTTTTCTTTTTGAGACAGAGTCTTACTATGTAGACCAGGCTGGCCTTGAACTCACATAGGATCCGCTTGCCTCTGCCTCCCAAGTGCTGGGATTTAAGTGTGCCACCACTCATAGATGCCCTGTCATCTTTAATCGTGTGCCCAGGGGAAACAGGAGGTGTGGGCTGAGGACTGGGAGCAGCAACCACTCAAGCCCTGGGAAGTGGGTCCACCCCTTTCTCTCAGGAGCAAAGAAAGGCATGTCTCTGTGAGCCCCCTGCCAATTTCTAAACTCAGGAAGGAACAGTTCTCTGCTCTTAATTTGCAAGGTGAAAAGAGCAAATACAACCAGAATTGCAAATTTGCCTCAAAGCAGCAATGCTTTCTTAACAGGGCAGGTGTATTTTAAACATAAGCACAATCCAAACCAAATGGTTGCACACATTGTGGGAAACGTGAATGTATCCAGGCTATACAAGGGAAGACCCGTGTCCACAGAACAGGGGAGAGTCCCATGTCTAGTACAGCATGTTCCAGTCAGGGCATGTCTCTTTAAAAGAGGCCCTGACAAATTGCTCCCAAAGGAAGGCGACAAGAGACTGAAGGGGAATTGAACAAGGAACCACTGCAGGTCCCCAGGCCATTAGCCTAATGAACAGAGTACATTAGAAGTGACCACAAATATCTAAAGAGCTTCCACGTGCTACCTGAAGCTTCTCTGGCCAACTCTGGGGACAACCAGAGCAGCTGTGTGTATGGATGTGCATTTGTGTGTGTGTGTGTGTGTGTGTGTGTGTGTGTGTGTGTATGTGTGTCTGTAATAAGGTATCAGATCTCGCTGGAAGATTATAGTAGTGTGTATATGTGTGACATGTGTCTGTGTATGTGCACATATGTATGTATGTATGGGTTTGTGTGTGAATGCGTGTGTATCTATGTGTCAAGTGAGTGTGTATGTGTGGAGTGTGTGAGTGTGTGTGTGGTAAGGCATCAGATCTTGCTGTGAGGTTGGTCCAGGCAAGCCAGGCTGCCTCCTGATGAAAGTGGCTTGGGAGGGGTCAGCTTCATGAGGATCATGGTGCTTCCCCTCTGTGCTGACTGCACTGACAGGGACATGTGATCATGAAAGCTTCAGGTTGGGGAGCTGGTGACCCACATGTGTTTCAGGAGGCAAAGATGAGCTGACACAACCAAGTACCTCTTTTGGGAATCTAGTGTTAATAAATAACCATAGTAAATACATAAGCAAATAAAATGAAGTCGTCACTACCCCCAAAGTTTACCCCCCATACAGTTGTGAGCAGTGGAAGCTGAAGAGGAAAGCTGGGAGCCCATGGAGAGAGAACCAGCCGCCGGTGGCACAAGCTGAGCCACGTTCTGAGGAAGCAGAGAGTGAGCAGACACTTCAGGGCAGAAAAAAGAGCACGGAAAGAATGAAAGAGGCCGGGGAAGACATGAAAAGGAAGACACACACTGAGTCTGAGGGACAGAAAGAAAACCACAACCATCCTGCAAATGACTTCCTTGACTATGTCACCCGCTGGGTCCAGGTAGACCTCAGAAACTAACTTACAGGTTTTCCCTTTATTTCCTTCCTTTGTTTGCTTGTTTTTTGAGTCTGGGTTTCTCTGTGTAAAGCTCCAGCTATTCTAGAACTCACTCTGTAGACCAGGCTGGCCTTGAACTCACAGAGATCCACCTGCCTCTGCTTCCCAAGTGCTGGGATTAAAGGTGTGCGTCACCACCTCTAGGCTCACTTTTTTTTCCCTTGAGGTAAACTAAACTTCTAGTCTTCGTGGCCCAAAAAAGTTTAATTAGACCATTAGCTTCTTTTTACAATATTTGTGTATGTGGGTGGGTGGGTGTGCGTGTGCACATGCCACAGCGAGTGTGTGAGGCCAGAGGTCAGTTCTCTCTTCCACCTTTGGGTGGGTTCTGGGGATTGAACTCGGGTCGCCAGGCTTGAGGCACAAGCACCATTTACCCACAGAATGATCTCACCAGCCCCAAGACGATCACCCCAAACATCCAGAGCCCCAGTGGAAAAGCCAGCTTGCTTGTCCATCAAAGAAGACACCCTCTCTGGGTAGAGCTAACACCAGGGACCTCAAAAGGCTTTGCTATTTAGCTGCTCTATGACTCACGACATTGGTCATAATCCTTCCATGTTTGGTTTCTTTAAAAAAAACTTCCACAAATTTTGCCCAATTATTACCATAAAGAGCCTACAATGCATAAAGTGATGATAAGTTTGGGGATGAAGGTCGTGGAGCAAAGAGAGGAAGATGTACTGTCCTGGTGAGGAAGCCATGGCTCAGAAAGGTCAGGTGACCAGGCCGGGCTCATTCTCTGGTAAGTCAGGGCCTAGGTGAGCAACGTTTCAGTAAGTGACTTTTCAGTCATGTGCCATGACTCTCCTGGGTCCTCGTCATGTCACAAAAGAACACGGTGCTACAGAAGACCCAAGGGAGCCTACATGTGCTCCATGAGCCCCAGTTGTCTCCTTACCAAGGTGCTTCTGCAGGAAGGCCAAGATGGCCCGCACCATAACCTCCTGACCTTCGTAAGGGTCCAAGGTCCCACGAGTGTGACTGGAAAAGAATTTAGCAAGCAGGTTGCCGGTCACGAAAGCAAAGTCAGTTTGACTCCGATGAACAGCTCCGCTAGAGACAAAGAGAAACAACAGGTAGGAAAGAGGGTTGAGGTTGGGCATACATGTGTGCCTACCATGTGCAAGGTGCTGCCCGTGTGTCGTGTGGCTCTCCCAGCAACCTTGTCGGGAAGTACTTTACGTGCGACCGAGTCTGAGAAGGAAAGCCGTGACACTGGACAGAGCTGGGGTTGGAACCGAGGTATGCCTGGCTGCACCTGGCTGGATGTCTAGATCACCATGCCTGACAATACAGGGAAGCAGGGACAATACAGGGACCCCTCTAGAGGGGAGCTGGGAGTGGAAGGTGAGGTTCCCAGCACCTGCTGTTCCTATTACACCAGAGCTTTTATCCAGGAACTCCAAGGACCATGAAACATTTCCCCTCTCTGTCAGAACTGCACTCAGGTTGGCCTTGAACTTTCCATGCCCCTGCCTCAACTTTCTATGTGCTGGGATTACAGGTGTGCACCAACAGGATCAGTGTGCTTGAGTGACTTTTAGAAGAAGGGCCTATGTTAGGATAACCTCTGTGAACTGGATGATCACGGAGATTCTACAAATTCCCCCAACTGTCAAAGCCTTCTCTAGCCATGGTTTTCAAATCCCCATAGGAGGCTAGAGATGTCTGGAATCCACCCAGACCCAATACACCCATTTTCCAGAATTACTACGTAAATCCTACCATGCAGCTACATAAACTGTCAAAGAAATCTCTGTGGGTGGGCCTAAGCAGAGAAGAGAGACACATGAAAACCCTATAGGAATTGTGACATAGGGATTCTAGCAACATTTAGATGCTCTTTGAACATACAGAAAGTTCTGGATAACCTCGAAGAAATGAAGGGAGACCCAGCTGATTAAAAAATGAACAGGGCTGGGGTCGTGCCTTTGGGGCATACTTACAGGACAGTCACAATCCTGGACCGGTCGTCCTGGGCACATATCTTCCTCATCAAGTTGACGCTCTCCACTGTCTGGAATTTCTCAGCATTGATAAAGAACACAGGGCCCCGGGCCTTGGGGTAAAAGTCATGTTCCAGAGGGAACATCCAGGCATCCAGGGCCACAGCGCACCTGGGATAAAGCAGACATTTGGAGCTGTCACTGAAACCCAGGCAAGAATACTTAGGGTGGAGGAGGATGGAAATGGACTCTTCTTTCCAACGGGCGGATGACTCAGAAACCCATACCCTCCTAAGACAATCTTACATAGTCCCCTTTGCTTGTCCCCTTTCCTTGCTCTCATATATCACTAAGGCCCGACAACTCAGATCAATCTGACTCCATCCATGCTCCCGACTCCATCCGTGCTCCCCAACTCCATCTATGCTCCCTGACTCCATCTGTGCTTCAACTCCATCCGTGCTCCCCAACTCCATCCGTGCTCCCTGACTCTATCCGTGCTCCCTGACTCCATCCATGCTCCCAGACTCCATCAGTGCTCCCCATTCTTTACCCTCATGTGTATTCATCCTCTCTCCATTTTGCTCTCACTCGGATCGCATCCACCTAGCCCTTCGAGCTGGTCTGCTCCATCACACAATAGTCAGGAGGTTCTTTAATATCTAAGACTGACTGTGCTCTGCTTAAAATCCTTTAATGGTTTTCTCATTTTATTTTATTATTTTTATAAGATAGGGTTTTGCTTAGACTTGCCTTCAACTCTGTGATCCTCCATAGCACAGAGACATGGGCGTCTACCTCACGTCTCTTGACCTGTTTATTTTCTTCATTGTACTTAGTGCTACGAAGTTGCTAGTCACTTTCCTCCCTCAACAACGTAATCTCTCCAAGTCAGACCTTGTTCAGCTGATCAGACAGTCCCCGGAACACAACCCTTGTGTAACACATCCCTGCTGAATGAATGAATGAATGAACGGTGTGTGAAGCTTGATGGCATCAGCATCACCAGTACTCACCGAAACCGGACCTCCTGAGTCAGAGCAAGAACGGCTGTAGCTCCTCCAAAGGAGTGTCCCATCACGGCCACCCGGCTCATGTCGATGCCGTCCTGAGGAAACCAGGGAATTTAGCCGAGCAGACACTCACAGAGAAGCGGCTGTGAGGGAATGAGGTGAGGTACGATGCCATCGAACCTGCACCATCTGCGCCTCCAGCCAGAGGAGGACGGCACAGCACTGAGGCAGAACTGATGTGGGGTTTCCCTCTGCATGCTGTGATTCTGCTTCAAGAGGATGAAGGGCATCAAAGAGGCTCCTTATGGAGTTTGTTAGCCATTTAGGCAAGAAACTGCTCTTGCCTGGACTGCTTGATAAACTGGACATGTGGGAACCATAAAGAAATGACTGTTGAACTTGCCTAAGTGTGAGACAATCCTTTAGGGTTCCTGTTACACAAAAGAGTTGGCTAAATATTCTACAAAACACAGAAAAATGTGACAGACAAGCTTCCAATATAGGTGGAACTGTCTTTGAAATTTCCTGCTTCATGGAAAAGTCTGCTGGATACCATGGATACTAGAAGCCTGTGAGCTGAAGACTGGATGCCCCAATGGTACAGAAGAACTTTGGGGGACTGTCTAGGCAGTGAGATGTCTCTGTCAATTCTAGAGTTTGGAAGTTGCTTACAATGCACTTACTGATTACTTAGGTAATATTATATCCTTCTGGAGTCTTTGATGGAGTTGAAAAATTTATAGTTATAGTTAGTTTTCCTTAGTTATAATAAAAGATAAAATAGATATAAATAAATATTGTAACTGTAATTCTTGCTTGATACCTGTTTTGTCATATGTAATTTTACTCTGCTACAGTTCAAACCTTTTTTTAAAAAATTTAAACAGAAAAGGGGAGGTGATGTGGAATTTCCCTCTGTATGCTGTGATTACCATTAATGAATAAAGAAACTGCTTTGGACCTATAGCAGGGCAGAATTTAGCTAGGCGGGAAAAACTAAACTGAATGCTGGGAGAATGGGCAGAGTCAGAGAGACGCCATGTAGCCCCACCGGAGAGAGATGCCAGAACGTTAGCAGGTAAGTCACAGTCACGTGGCTATACACAGACTAATAGAAATGGGTTAAATTAATATAAGAGTTAGCCAATAAGAAGCTACAGCTAATGGGCCAAGCAGTGATCTAACTAATACATTTTATGTGTGATTATGTGTATTATTTCTAAGCTAGCCAGGTGGCCAGGAACCAACAAGTGGCCTTCCCTACTACACAGAATGATGGCAAGTTCAGGACCAGCCTGGGCTACACAGTGAGACACTGTCACAACTTAAAAAAAAAAAAAGAGGAATCTCTGGTCTCTGGAGTGTAGTTCAGTAGCAAAGAGCACAAAAAAGCCTTCGGGTTTGACACCCAGCATGGCAAAGAGAAGCAAAAGAGGACTAGGGACTTCCTGTCACCTCAAGAGCTGATCTTTCTTTTGATCTTTGGTGTGAGCAACCTTAAGGGAACTGTGCTTTTCTTCTGGACTTTTTGTTTTTGTTTTGAGACAGGTTTTTTTTTGGTTTTTTTTTTTTTTTTGGTTTTTCAAGACAGGGTTTCTCTGTGTAACAGTTCTGACTGTACTGGAACTTGCTATATACACCAGGCTGGCCTAAAACTCACAGAGATCTCTCTCCAAGTGTTGGGATCAAAGGTGTGGCACATGCTTTTATTCCCAGCAGTCAGGTAGCAGAGGCAGGTAGATCTCTGTGAGTTCGGGACCAGACTGCTCTACAGAGCGAGTTCCAGGTTAAGCTCCAAAGCTACACAGAGAAACCCTATCTCAAAATACAAACAAACAAAAAGGTGTGTGCCACCACACTGCCTCATCTTGACTTCTGTAATCCCCCTGCTAACACTACTATCTGCTGAGGGCAGGCATTCAAATGTGTGTGGGTACCCAGACAAGTTGTCAGGGTTCCACCAGCTCATCGGAAAATACACTGAGAAGCAGCCCCCTTCATTCTCTACAGCAGTGGTTCTCAACCTGTGGATCACGATCACTCTGACAAACCTCTACCTTCAAAAAAATTACCATTATGATTCATAATAGTAGCAAAACTAGTGGAAGTGGCAATGAAATAATTTTAAGGTTGGGGGTCACCACAACATGAGGAGCTGTATTTCAGGGTCGCAGTGTTAGGAAGGTTGAGAACCACTAGTCCACAGTTCTGCCTCACAAACTGGTCCTCGAGGATGTCACAGAGCGCACAGAGGGGAGCACAGGGAACCTCCCTCCCACACACACACACAAACACCCATTTAGCTCTGGAGTAAGGCCTGCTTGTGCAGACAGCAAGCTAGGTTCTCCTTCCTCTGCACGGCTGCCCTGATTTTTATCCACAGCCCAGGGAGGCTTTGTGCGCTGTGACTGCTCTGTGAGTGTCTATTCCGATTGTTCCCAGAAGCCTCTGAAGTTTGGCTCCATAAAAAGCCACCACTGATGCCTGCTAAGGGGCTGGGGAAATCTCCCCAGGCTTTATGTTCAGAAGCCCTGCTCTCCTCAGCGTCTAGCCCCGGGAAGGTGTCCATCCTCCCCCATGGCTGAGAGAAGCACCCGGAGGGAGGGGCTCTTTTTTTGTTGTTTGTTTTGTTTTGTGAGAAAGTTTTTCTCTGTGTAACAGCCCTAGCTGTCCTGGAACTAGCTCTGTAGACCAGGCTGGCCTCGAACTCATAGAGATCCACCTGCCTCTGTCTCTTGACTGCTGGGATTAAAGGCATGTGCCACCACCGTCGGTGTGAATGGCTTTTAAAACCTAAATGACTGTTAGTAGGCCTCCAAATTCAGGTTTGTAGTGAAGTCTCCCACCCCCAGTTTCCTTTCCACCAGCTGCCTGCTTCCTGCTCCCAACCAGCGATGGTTTCTTCAGTGTCCTTGTTGAGCTCGCCACTGGGAAGACAGCAGACAGGATGGGCACTCCTCCTCCTACCTCTCCCACAGGCGCTCCTCCAGCGCCTGTCTGTGCACAGCACTATTAGTACAGAGGGGCTGTCTCGTCCTTCCCTATGGCTACGCTTGACATCACTCAGAAACCGACAGCTGGCTGCTCACTAAATCTGTCCCCAGACACACAGCGAGACCATTTCTTTGCAGTTCCACGTGACGGAGTCCTAGCTAACAGCATTAGCAAAAGTCTAACTTTCAAAGCTGAAAGTTTGGTTAAGAGCACTTGCTGCTCTTGCAGAGGACCCGGATCTGACTTCTAGCACCCAAGTCAGGGCCTCTCACAACTGCCTGTGACTCCAGATCCAGGGGAATCCACACCTCTGGCCTCTGTACTTGTGTATACACCTACATGCAGGTGCACACACTAACACATGACCTCAAATAACAAAAATACATACATATATTTGAAATTCTAACTTCCAAGGACATCTATAAAAGCTCTCAGGTGCTTCCCTGCCCATGCCTTCTGCAGACCTAATGCATGTAGCCCATTTCCTTCTGCAGGCCTAATGCACGTAGCCCATGCCCTTCTGCAGGCCTAATGCACGTAGCCCATGCCCTTCTGCAGGCCTAATGCACGCAGCCCATGCCCTTCTGCAGGCCTAATGCGCGTAGCCCATGCCCTTCTGCAGGCCTAATGCATGTAGCCCATGCCCTTCTGCAGGCCTAATGCACGTAGCACAAGTGAGTTCAAGCGTGCAGAGGGCAGAACCCCTCGGATGAATGGAGCCCAGGGCTAGGGTGCACTTCACTGGTGGAGCGGCTTTCTAGCTTGTGCCAAGCTCTAAGTTTAATCCCAGTTCTGAAAGGAGCATAGAGCCTTGGACTGCCTCCTGCCCCCCCCCAACCAGCACCCTGTGAACAGTAGACAAAAGGGACGTTTCTATTGGGTGAAGCCACTGAGAGGGGTCTAGGTGTCCTAGCAATTAGCATTCCCAGGGGCTCTGAGGGGAACAGCTGGCTCCTCCCAACTGTTTGCTCTTAGGAACAATACAGGATAAATTTACAGACTGGAAACTGGTGGATTAAAAAAAAGAGAGAGGAAGGAAGGGAGGGAGGGAGGGAGGAGGGAGGGGGGAGGGAG